ACTACTTCGGGTTGAATCTAAGTCAACATTCTTAAGAGGATGGACACCACCTACATCGGGATTACTTTCTTCTGGGTTTTGAACTTTATGAGATTCAGAAGAGTTTTTCGGTGGCGGCAAAGTTGTTAAGCTAGACGTCCTCTTAGAATCGGACTTAACTTTACAACCATTAGGATTATGATGCGTTTGAGAGTTTGACGCTGATGGTCTGTAGTTATCTCTTCCTGCTTTTCGCTGGCATGGTGTTTTATCCGGAAGAGTCTTAATATCCTTGAAAATCTGTTTTTGTCTCAATGAATTGGAGGAATTTAAAAATTCACTGGCGTCTACAGATGAGTTGAATTTGAACAAGATCGGTGAGTGCATACCAGGATGACTTCTTTTTAATCTTGTGCATACACATGGTACGTGTGTCATATTGCTGGCTCTAAGCAGACTAGATTTGATATTTTTAAGGGCATGTGTATCCGGTATATTAAACACAATTGCATTGCTAGATCGTCTTATTCTTTCAAATACCTCTGATGCAACACGATCTAGGAAAATATTTATGTCATTCATTTGATCTGGAGTCTCTGTGAGGTTGGGGTTGATGAGATATTTAAGCGGATTGAGAATGTTCATGTCTACTTGCAACTTTTTATAGCATCCATATAGTTGCAGTTGCGATTATCATCACTGTTTACCATCAGAGTTTTCAACATGTCTGGAATGGAGACAACTGGTAAAAGCTTGTCTGCTTCCGGATGAACGGAGTGGCTCGTCTCGTTAAAACTGTTGGAAATCGTGTCAGTAGTGGTGTTAAATTGTGTCGTTTTCCTACGTTTGGCTGAACGCCTAGAAGCAGGGGTCTTCATTTTCTTTTGTGGCATGATAAGAAAGTGACGTATAGCAAGTGGATTGAACAGAATGTTGGAAATAGAAAGGGGTGAAAAAAAATCAATTCCGAGGCCTCAAGTTAGTCTAAAAATCAAAATCTATGTTTTAACCAAGAGTGAATGTATCGTGAGGATTAGTGGTGTTAAAAACAAAAGATGACAATGGCAGGAAGATAGTGGTGGAGATGAAGTATTTATGTCAGTATCTGTGTGGAGGCAAAATAGAATATAAAGGAGCAAGTTGTATAAATTTTAACACATATGACACGAAAGATAGCCTTATATAGTAAAGTAATTTAGAAATGTCGATAATTAGTATCAAACAATCAAAAAAAGTACGGTACGTGATACATATATAAACTGAAAGTCCGTATTAGTAAAAATTGGGAGGTGCAGAGATAAGTAGTTTAGAAGATTATTACCGTCTAAGATTATTATGTTGCTTCTTGAACAAATATATGAAACAGCTTTTTGGAAAAAAAATACTGTCAAAAAAAACTATGACAGACTCACCGAATTGGACAGATAGCTTCGGAAATTAAATGATTTATAGTATCCAAATACGATTTAAATGATAGTTCATAAAATAGTGAATACAGTCCTTTAACATACACGGTTGTATATATTTCTTGATATTAGGTAGAGGTTTGAATAGATCCTGTAGATACATAAAGTACGTGGGTTAAAGCATTCAAATACGATATAACCATATATTCCTTAAGGAATAGAATACAGATATGAAATGCGAATCTTCGTCAAATATGATTATATACGGTTTCAAAGTGACAGAGTATAGTTTGATCGTATAGTCAAAATGAATATATGTAATTATATGATTATGAATTATTGTATGAATATGATCATAAATACTGTAAGTTGAACTCAGAACTTATCATATGGCATGAAATTCACAGTTTATATGTTAATAGTTAAGAATAGAGTTAACTTCCATAATTCCAAGAAAAAATAATTCATCCAGCTCTGCGAGAATCCTAGAAAAGTAAAACTAAAAACCTCGGCCTGAAAGTAACGTCCAGTCCGTAGCGCGCGGCAATTGCCGATCCGTGCATTGCTGATCCTCGGTTTCTCTTTTTTTCAGAACGTTGCTCTAAGGGCACAGCTATGGAAATTCTGACATCTGGAACAGTCTCGACGCACTTGTTTTCACAAGGTCATATTTCACCCCATGTGCTCTACAAGCCTACTTTATAACAACTATAAACTTAAAAAGTTGCATCGCATAGATACTTGGCGCGATCAAAATCCTAACACAATTATGCCGAAATTGGATCTAGTGTTTAACGTGGATGCGATACCGTATTGGAGAATATTTTCAAGACAACTTATTTTATCTTAACGAATGAACTGATATTCACTTTTATAGATTATATTTATTTGACATCCCTGCTTGAGATGCATACTGTGAACCAGTAAATGTTGTAATTTGTAGACCAGGCCTGTAAAAATGGCATGTACTTGCCCTTGCAGAAATAAACTTTAGAGTCTATTGGTTGATGTTTATTTCACTTGTTAAATATTTTGTAAATGTTGTTTCCTATTTTATGGTACGATGTGGTGTGCTTGATTTGTATATAAACAAAGTATGTCTGAAATACAATGATTCATAACTCAGAGGCTGTGGCCTGTGTTCCTGACTCAACTGGCTAGGAGAGACTGCGAAGCGGGACCAATCAGGGCACTAGGTCGTCCAAATGTGTTTTCCGTGTTACTGTGATCGATCGATAAAACGCTGCTCATCAAAACCTGCAGTCTCACACCCGTTACAACACACACATTGAACCACGCTGTGACCTCGAGTTTGGTCAAACACGACCTTATCATCAGTAGTCCAGCAATATGCAATAGAACAATTAGGTAATCAATGTCATCTAATAAAAGCTCACATGAGGAAGAGTAAATAACATAGAATGCGGTTGAAAGAGATCTAAATAAAGGTAAAAATGCACGAAAGGAGGAATAAACAACAGTAGTAGTCGTGAAATTTCGCTATATTGAATTGTATAGAGATTAACTTTGGGTAATATGGAGATAAGCTGTTAAACATAGTAAGCTAAAATAGACACACTTTTATTCACCGCAAATTAATAACTTATGAAGCCACATACATTACACAGGAGCCTAAATTAGAAGACCCAAAAATGCTCCGGAAAATGCCTTATTTTTCAGTTGCGCTTTTGCATGGAATCATAATATAAGCTCAGAACTGACAAGTCATGACAGCTAAAGCATATCTGCGCCATGCACTTTGCTACGATTGATGAAATTTTCAGATTAACGACTGTTGCAATACACAGAATAATTAAATATGATGTTTAGGACAGTCTAGACAACTCTCATTGAACTGGTATTACTATAATACCACAGTAATTGCTTGTGAATATTGTTTCAGAAAATTAAAGCATACAAGTAGAATAGTTTTCTGAGAATCGCACAAGTTTCCTTCAGTAGCGTGCATAACGCCTCCATTATTGATATGCGGAAACCCAGAAACTCGATGTCACACAATTCAGGTTATATTCACAAATTATTGACAACAAATGATGATTGTTAGAAGGCTTGGTGACGATAACGGTGGGTTCGACGGACTAAAAGAAACTAGGCATTCTGACGTGAGTAAAAGCAGTTTGTTATTGAACTCATAATAATCAAATTATTGGTATCACAAGACACCATGTAGATAATTTCTTCAGTAGATGAATTTACTCTTTGTCGTTTTGTTAATCTAAATCTACATCAAAGTCAGCACAAGAAATTCCTCAACAGAAACTGTAATAAACAGCACAAATTCAGTAAAAATAGGAACTTCTAGACGACTGAGACGGAAGAGATGAAAATAATTAACGACAAAACAGGACAATCTTGAACAAAAAATCCCCAGTCTCCTCAGCCACTATCGCATCAACAAACACTGAAAGATCCGTCAGAAACAATGAACAAATAATTATTAACATCGCGAAGTTTATACATAGTAGTAAATAGAAAGTCTCATATCAACACATGAACGATTCATCGAGGCATCAAGACAGAAGTATCACCAAACAAATGGCCTAGTTGATTACTAACATAGGTTATCTCCATCGAATTATTGGGGCCTACTCGAATTAGACGGGAATGATGTGACGAAACAGCTAACAATTACATCACACCTTAAGATCAGAACCTAACCTGAGTTATCCTTTCATTGTATCAAGTACAATGGCTACTTTGTTACCGTACAATATAAAAGACGTTTTAGAGAAAAAATATATATCGGTAAGAAAAGGTACTAGGGTGTGACTTAAAACGCCGCTGCATGTGCAAGTTCATGATGTGCAAGTAACCTCTGTGCGTTGCTTGTCCCTGATCTTGAAGACAATCAGTGAACTGTCTGATATTCATTGACCCAACTGTTTGATTATTTGGCTCGGGCACGGTGACTTTTTTACCGACAGTACAGAGTAAAAATGAACTTAAAACTGGTCAAAATAATGAAGCTTCCTAGCAACTGAAAAATAAAACTTCCAGCTTGTGGAAGGTATAGTGGCCGAAAATATAAACCATGTTCGTCGAATGATCATACTTCAGAAATAGTCAGACATAAGAACAATTGCAAGAATGCTGAGGAGAAACAGAATACGAGTAGATGAAGAGAACAAAAGAAATGATAGATGCAAATAAAAAAACGAAAAAGTTGCGTCGTTTTTTTCACATATTCCCACAAGAGCATACAAATGGATTCTAATCCAATATACTGAGAAAATGCAATAATAGAATAATTGTTCTACTCAACTTATACTGAAAGTGTTTTTGTTAAAAACAGTGCACAATTCCACTTACGACGAAGCCGCAATTTTTTGTGTTACACGTTTCTATCACTGACGTATGTTACAGTATTGCCTAAAGATACAACAACTGACGTTGTAAGTCATTTGACGCTCGGCCTAGCAAACATTTTATGCGGTTACCTAATAAAATAACGTAAAATTTCAATGATATGTGAAGACGAGTTTAATACTCCTACCTATTTCGGTTTAAAGTTTGCTGAAAATATGTAAAACCTAACTTCTCGAAGTTTCCTGCTGAACAGTTTAAATGGATCAACGCCCTAACGAATACATCTCAGTGCTTTGTTCGACCTATTTTAAGGCGGTAAGTATAAACGTTTTTCGTTTCATATAATTCAATTGGTATATATAGCAACCGACCTGTCGGCTAAGTTATGTACTGTATTTCTATTACTAAATCTTAACACTTGATGCATAAGATTCTTCATCAGACTTATCATTATAAGTCGTACACCCTAAATGTTTTTAACATGCATGTGTAAATCTGTAAATTACCAAGCTACTAATTTTGTGGAGAATTTGGCCCATTTTGGGGAAGCCGCTATAGTAAGTTTTCGGGAAATGAGATCAAACCCCAAAAAACGTTTCGGTTTCTCCTGCAATACTTATTTAACGCAAAACCTCTACAAAAATCTCTAGACATCACGGAAGAACTAGCGAGAATGCTAACGTACATTTCTTACTGGGATGTTTTATTACTTTTCGTCAATCGCGCATTGTTAAAGACACTTAATGTTAACCGATTTATCGCGATTATTAAAAGACTGATTTATGACATATATAAATGCTTATTACAGTTAATAAAATTACAAATGATTCATTTATACAAAGTTTTCCATTGCGTTGTAACAGCAACACCTTACGTAGACGTAGAACTGTCATTGACATTGTTCTAAAAAATAAAAAAATCATTTTTAGTGTATAATAACGTGTCAAGATATGTGAAAGGTCGATGATGTACCAACAGTATGACAATGTTGTTAATAATGCGAACAAAGAACTTACAGTTACGTCTGATAAAGCCTGCGAAGCCAGCTGAAAGGAAAACGGACAAGACAAAAGTTGTATCAGTTTAAATATTGATCACAAAGTAATATTGAAAGTGCAATATGTATTATAACAAACATGTTAAGTGGTTTTAGTCCACCCTTTCTTTGGATCGCCATCCACGTTTATGTACTTTATCTTTTGCGTCATGCAAGAAAGCCTGGTTTGCTGTAGCCATGGCGTGTATTATTTCCTTTTCCGGGCATCTTGCACTTCGTAAATGTGAACACAAAGCACCTACAAATATGTTAATACAGTAATGTGTACTTACTTTGAACCATCGAGTAAAATTTGTACTACAACGATGCATAACGGTGCATTTTCTGACGTAGAATCGAGCAGGATATTGTTGAGGGTGTCGATTTTGGTAGTCGAAAGGATTATCTATGCACCTCTGAAGAACTAGAGGTTGCTGAGGTTGAAGCTGGATTTGCCCCGGTGGAATTTCCAGTTGTCAACATTTTGACAGGAAACTTTTCGCCTATTGCGAGGTTTGTACCTACTTTATCATTACTTATATAGCAGTTCATCAAATGCTGATGTATCATCACCACCACTTCCATATACGTCTACGGAAGTTAATAACGGTAAGTTGCATTTACTGTATTCCTGATAACAAAAGTTTGTGCGATGATACAAATCAAATGTTCAGAATTATCCTGAAAGCGGTCACTGAACTGTCTAGCAAGATGGATAAAGTGATCGCTGTATGTGAACGCTTAGCCATGGGTGTAAGTGACAGGCGTATGGAAGAAAAGGATAGTGGTGCTATCACTTTCCCATTAAGAACACATGAGGAGTTGTGTTCTTTAGAGGCTGCTTCAGAAAACCGAGATTTCCGGGATCATTTCGTAGGTTGTAACAGGTGTTTGAACAAATTTCAGGTGGAAAGATTATACCACCTACTATTTGAGAATCCTCGGAAATCAGCGAAAGCCTGTCTGCAATACCTTCTTTCGCAGGAACTGGCGAACACTTACACTTTGCACGGAACCAGAAGTATATTTGGTATTAGTAAGTACAAATTTTACTCGATGGTTCAAAGTAAGTACACATTACTGTATTAACATATTTGTAGGTGCTTTGTGTTCACATTTACGAAGTGCAAGATGCCCGGAAAAGGAAATAATACACGCCATGGCTACAGCAAACCAGGCTTTCTTGCATGACGCAAAAGATAAAGTACATAAACGTGGATGGCGATCCAAAGAAAGGGTGGACTAAAACCACTTAACATGTTTGTTATAATACATATTGCACTTTCAATATTACTTTGTGATCAATATTTAAACTGATACAACTTTTGTCTTGTCCGTTTTCCTTTCAGCTGGCTTCGCAGGCTTTATCAGACGTAACTGTAAGTTCTTTGTTCGCATTATTAACAACATTGTCATACTGTTGGTACATCATCGACCTTTCACATATCTTGACACGTTATTATACACTAAAAATGATTTTTTTATTTTTTAGAACAATGTCAATGACAGTTCTACGTCTACGTAAGGTGTTGCTGTTACAACGCAATGGAAAACTTTGTATAAATGAATCATTTGTAATTTTATTAACTGTAATAAGCATTTATATATGTCATAAATCAGTCTTTTAATAATCGCGATAAATCGGTTAACATTAAGTGTCTTTAACAATGCGCGATTGACGAAAAGTAATAAAACATCCCAGTAAGAAATGTACGTTAGCATTCTCGCTAGTTCTTCCGTGATGTCTAGAGATTTTTGTAGAGGTTTTGCGTTAAATAAGTATTGCAGGAGAAACCGAAACGTTTGGGGTTTGATCTCATTTCCCGAAAACTTACTATAGCGGCTTCCCCAAAATGGGCCAAATTTCCCCCGAAATTGGCAGCTTGGGTCATCTTTATTCTTGATATCAGTTCGTGGTAAAGCCCTAAATGGAATTCTGAACCCTGACCATCAACTGTAAATCACAATTAAAAATCTTAACATTGCTTCATTACCCTCGTATAGTCCCTGATAGTAGGTGTACATTCTCAAAGCCATTTTAGCGTTGCCCAGAGGTTTTTTATATATTATTATCTCACCACTCTTTTAACGTTTTCTTATTTTCACTAAATAGGACACTCTACACATCGTAACTTTTCAATACACTTGAGACGTCAGTTAACTTGATTCATCAACTGTAGCTCCTTTGGACAAAATATTCAAGCTTTTATAGTTGGTTCTTAGGAGCCCATAGAACGTTGTTAACATTGCACTAAATCCCTATGTAACATGCCACACTCTTAAACAAGTGGTTTGATCCCCATGGTAGACAAAATATATGGCACTTACTTATTGCTATTATAAAGATCATTTGTAGCATGAGCGACTGTCGAAAACCTAACAATGTAAGTACGAAGGCCTTATTTTCGTAAAAAGTCCTTTGCTTTTGCCGAACTTGGTACACCGTGGCTATTCAAGCAGTTCACATTCTTGGCTTTGAGCTACCATAACAAAAATCATTACGAACTGACTGCCCAGCAATCTTCAGAATATTGTCTGAGACTTAAAGGGTTCCAAATACTGAAGTACTTCTTTCGTGTAAAGCGATGTTACGTTTATTACTATGAAAGAATAAGGCCGAGGAAACTGAGAAGCGCATAAATGCTTGAGACTGTATTAGTTGAATTTATATTAGACATGTTTTTAGATGCTTTGTTCTCACCATGGTACGACGTTTCATATGTGCACTTTTTTACAACTGCAGATTGGTTCGACAAATACGTCAAAAACTGTCTTTCGCTACGTGTGTAACAGTAATCAGTTAGTTTGGAAAATACATGGGTAAACAAATATTTAAGACTAAGCAATTATTACTAAGTATAGCTGAGATTTACTCAGATACAAGCTGCGAACTTTTAAAGTTCTCAGTGTTCTATCAAGGTTAACTGTTCTGAAGGAAAAAAATATATGATGTAATGTTTTTATTTTCCAGAATGAGTCAACGATTGACGTAGCTCGTAAAATACTCCTTTACAATGCCAGCTGAGGAAGGACGTATTACTCGCAAATCCACGGTCTCCAAACAAAATCGGTAAGCATCTAGCTTAAATCATGGTTTTTTTCAGAAAACAAGTTCGCAGTGTACTAAAAAGCGAGAAGGTACTTCATCGATCAACAAGAAAACAGGTTGTAGAAGTAATTACTCCACCTATCTCTGCAAGGCTTAGAAGTGCTGGTACACGACAAGCATTTGAAGAAACAAATGTCAAGTTGGATACCCTCCTTTTGAAACCGAAAGGTCGTAAATCTGCTGCTCATGTGAATCAAATAAAGCAGAATGGTACACATCTTGCTTTAATAGTCGAAAGTAATGGAATACCTGATGTATTGAACAACCATAATCCGTCCACTGGTTCCTCGCAGAATGGGACAAAAAATAATGTCTCAGAAACTCCTGTTCTACAACCCATGACAAGTTCACGTTTTTGTAGCACCATGTAGCAATATTCATGTTTTTGTCCAGCTTTTTATACTTGTATTTTATTTTTAACAAAATATATTTGTGAGTATTTCATTAATTTGTGTAACCTCGATAAATGAAGCATAACGAGCGCATGTGTGGAAGTTAATATGTTTGACTGTGCGTCTTTTAACTAGACCAAGTGCAAACAGACAAGCTAAAAAAGCTTTAAGGACTATAGACTTTCGTGTAGTTAGGTCAGGGTTTGATATCCTATCGCAGTGTTTTCAGTAACTGCGACAAACGACGTAAGTGCCTTCGCATGGCCGAGAGTGGGGTGGCCCCCCCCTCTCCAAATGCTCTCACACGGCCACGCGTATACAGCCTCTGCCAGGGAAGTCTTACTCACTGCCTTCTAGTGGCGTGGGTTAAGTGCTGTTAGATTAGAAAGTTCCATCAAAGTGAGAGGAAATCGGTGTGAAAAACGATGTCTTTTCGTCATCGCCTATGCCCTGACAGATTGCAGCCTGGATGCAACCAAGGACGAATTCTGCCACCAGTTAACTGTTCTCCTTCAGAAAGTGAACCCGACAGATATTGTAGTACTAGCCTGAGACTTGAATGCTCAGGTCGGGCGTCTGGGCACAGAAGAGAGTCGTTTAGATGGCCGATGGGGACTTGTTGGTTGCAGGATAGATAACGAGAACCGTCTACTGCAACTGTGCACAGACCACAACCTGTCTCTGGCTAGCACTAACTTCCGACACAGTCATCGCCGATGTGCCACCTGGCGTCCTCCCTCTTCGTCTCAAGCCTGGACTCAGATTGATCACATCGCGATCAGCTACCGCTCCTTTTGGAGTACCTATCTGGACTCTGATCACGCCCTGGTCTGCGCCAATCTTACCTTACTTATCAGTGGCCAACGAAGTGACCGCCACCAAAGGATTGATGTCAGCAAGTTGGTTCTAACTTTTGTTGCAAGTAAGTATCGAACCGAGCTAGTTTCTAGGCTAGCTACCATTCCACCGATAAGTATAGATGAGCATTAGTTGCAATTGCATGACGCCATGAAAATGGTGGGTACAGTCAGTTGTGGGTTCGCGAAACGTCTTGCTTATAAGCACTGAGTTTCCTCTGCTTCCTTACAACTCATTGAAGCCCGTCGGTCTACTCCGGGTGACCGTGAGTTTGACCAAAACGAAGGATGTTACGTAAGAAATTGGCAAAGCTTGCGTAAGGACGAGAAGCCTGGTGGTCGGCGTGAGCAGCAGCTGTCTGCTACCGGAAGCTTTCAATCCGAGCCATGGCAGCAAGAATCTGGTGTGTGCGAAACAATCTGCGAGGATGATGGGATGCCAATCACTAACATCCATCGACGTCTTGGACGATGGGCAGAATTTTTCGAAGGGCAGTTCAACTGGCCTGCTGCTCCGGCAACATCGGTCAGACTGTCCTGCCCTCCATGGCCGGTGACGACTGATCCACCAAATGAGGAGGAAGTCCGCAAGGAACTCCAACTCTTGAAGCGTTACAAATCACCTGGCCCAGATGACTTACCTCCGGCTCTTTTTAAAGATGGTGGTGACTTTTTGACTGACGACGTTGTTTACAAAGGTTTGGGAACTAGAGAGTGTACCAACGTCATGGAATGAGTCGATAGTTGTCCCTATCTTTAAAAAGGGTTCACGTCGTTCCTGTAACAACTATCGGGGGATAAGTCTACTTCCGATTGCGTCCAAGCTATTGGCTTCCGTCATACTTCGTAGGTTGTTCAAAACCCGAGAAAGATTGACTCGCGAGGAGCAGGCTGGGTTTCGTTCTGGTCGAGGATGTATTGATCATATCTTCACCCTCCGCCAAATGTTAGAACACCGCCATACTTATCAAAGGCCAACAATCGTAGTGTTTCTTGACATCAGGGCTGCCTTCGATTCGTTGGACAGGACTGTTCTCTGGGATTGTCTATTGAAGAAGGGTGTGCCTGAGAAGTTTATTAACATCCTAAAAGCCCTATATAAACACCTCAGGCAGAGTGAGGGCATACAACCACCTCTCTCCATTGTTCCATTCGAGCAGTGGGGTTAGGCAGGGTTGCCCAATCTCACCATTCCTCTTCAACTTTGCCATCGATGACATTCTGGAAACAGCTCTGATGAATGTAAGTAATGGTGGTGTGGATCTGTTGCCTGGAGAAAGACTTCTCGACCTTGAGTATGCGGATGATATTGTCTTACTGTGCACCTTCGAAATGCAAAGTACTTCCACAAGACTGGCAGGATCCTAATCATTTACTCACCCTGGATAGTGAGCAGATAGAAGTAGTCGGGAAGTTCGTGTATCTAGGTAGCTGCATAAGTGCTGGTGGTGGCGTGAGTGATAAGGTCGATGCAGGTATATTGAAAGCCAGAGCGGCTTATGCCAATCTGGACCATCTTTGGCGCACTCGTGATGTCAGTCTGGTTGTAAAAGGTCGGATCTACAGCGCGTCGGTGAGAGCAGTTTTGTTTTGTGCTTGTGAAACCTGGCCTCTCCGAATTGAGGATGTCAGACGACTCTGTGTTTGATCACCGTTGTCTTCGAAGGATTGCGGACATAAAGTGCCAATGTGGTGTGTGCTACTTGTATAGACATAAGTAGTATATGATGTTAGTCGTGAACAGAAGGTCTGACAGCAGAGAGACAAGAGGATTGAACAGTGAAGAATGGAAACAGGATGCAATTTGTATGAAAATGCAAGAACAATGAGGTCTGAGTCATCTTGAGGCAATTGGTGTGCATTTTGCAAATTAAGCATTTACTTTATGATTGTTAGATTTTAGTAACAGGTCCTGTAATTTTGTGTTAATGCATCCGATTGTACCCACCCGTGTTTTGTTCACTATAGCGACACCATGTCAGAATGCAGAGGTTCGGCATCGTGTGTTCGGGCACAGAGACGATAATGCAATCGATGTCACCGTCTTGAAACACCGACTTCGGTGGCTTGGACATGTTCTACTTATGTCGTCCCAGAGAATTCCACGTCGAGCATTATTTGCCGACTCTGGACTGGTTGGAAAAGGCGGAGAGGTGGTCAGTGTATGACATGGTGTCGTGGCATGAAAGAAAGCTGCAAAGGACTGGCTTATGTTGGTCCTTTATGACTCAGTGGCTGGGGTCCGAGAGATGGTGCGACACAGTGGCTAGAGATTTTATCAGATATGGCTCAGAATAGAAGCCAGTGGCGATCCTGCTGTAACCTTCTTTTACTTTCTTCATAAAAAGTGGTTGTATCTTCCTTAACTGAAAGATTTTTTCTAGTTATACCTTTCCGTTTCCCCATTATTATCATTATTACCCTACTTTACACTAAACTGGTCGTTATTGTTCTTTTTTTCCTCTTCCCATTCTCATTGTTTTGTGTGGTGAATATATATTTGGTGCCCTCTTGTACCAATATTTATGTGTTCAAATAAATAAATAATGTAAGTTTTAGCAATTCGCGGACCAAATCTTGAGTGCTTGTCAGAAAATATCACAAACCGATTCCCGTTGAGCATAATATTTCGTAAATAAGTTTTCGAATGCACTAAGGATATTGAAGTAAATCACCTAAATACATAAACAGCTTGAATAAGAATACATACTAAGATTAATGAGAAAATTATGCAGAACTTAATAAAAAAACTTTGAATCAATTCTCAGCTACAATTTATATCCTCAGCAAATTATCTTTCCTAGACTGGTAACAAGAACAATATGCAAATAATAAATTTCATGACCAAAAGCTTTGTCAGAATGTAGTTTATTACAATTTGAACATAACTTTTACCAACAGTCTGTCAAGATCTTGAGTTTTGCTCAAGGTAGGTATGTGACTGACTTTTGAGCCCTATATGAAAGTGCTCTTGTTATTTCTACTTAGAATTAGGAGGAATATGTTATTACCCAATGTACTGTATTAAGAAACCCGCATTTAATCAGTTCTCCAATCCGGGAGTTGTATACTGTGTTTTGTGAAGTCGATTAGAACACGTGTACATTTATAACTAGACAATAATTATATATACTGTGCATAATGAAACTGAAAGTTATGTAGACAATGGCGCATCGGCGAGTTCCAAATTCCTGAATTTTTCTGCATCGTAAAATCCAGCCTTCACGACACGTCCAGCGAAAAATCGGCCATTTAGATCGAGTACCGCTATAAAAAATAAACCAGCGATGAATATTAAAAAAGCGGGAATTATATGAAAAGTGACAATGGTAAAAATTAGAACCACAAAACTTTCTGCTAGACAACGCTGCGTAAGTAGGAGTGGTTGAGTAGTTGTCAAATAATTCACTTGTAAGCTAGTAGTTTGTTGGTTCAAATGTATTTTCCTCATTAGTTCACACAAGTGTGTTTTAGGACTGGATCTGTGGACCTGCCCTTGAGTTGAAAGTTCTGAATCACATCAGAAGCCGTGTTTATTTTCAAAAGTGTAGCTTGCTGTTGTCTTAAATCAGTTGAGTTAAAAATCCTTTTATAAATAGGTAGTTATTCACGGGCTGATTTCAGTTATAGAACTACTGCAAACAAGGATAACCTGGACAACTATTTTGTCCGAGTTTTGGACCAGTCAGTAGTGTGCTTTCAACACTACTAAGTACTGGATCCATGACTTTCAGAGAAAGCCAAAGATTTAAACCGTTGAGTTAGTATCTAGCGATTTGCACTTCCAACTTAAGTCAATTAGTGATGTTCCGCGCACCCGACCCGCTGCTGTTGTTGAAATTTGTGTCAGCCCATCACGGCTGAACTCCTGTGATCACAGGTGTCACTAGAGATCCAGGAACTAAGCCCATCACAGGCAAGTACGAAACAGCTGTTCAGTACTTTTTTGTTTCTTCCCAACAGTACTGTAACTGAAACCAATATGTGATGTTGAATTTGGAACTCAACGATCTCTAAAAACTCAGTGATAATCTATCATTTATAAACATTTAATTGAGGCAAAGAAATTCGTGCATAAACTGCATTGTATAATAAAATTTTCGTTGATGCCATAACAGCCGGAGATTTTAATTGAGATTATAAAATAATCACTAAGATCATTCAAAATCACAGCGATGTTCCAACAAACTAGTACCTCTATACATTTTATCAGCGATTGTATGGGTTAAATGATCTGTCTCACGAAAATATTTTGACACCGACAAAAAGCGGACTCGCTGTTTAAAATGACTTCAAATGGAAACTAGTTATTCACATAAAAGAGAAAGACATTGGTAACATGCTGGAACTTTACAGAAATTAATGAGTTCTGAGATCTTTTTCTCTTAAAAATACTTGGTTAAATAGTACGCAAAGTAATACATTATTACGTGAATATGAATGAATACAAACGACAGGAAAATGATACACGACTGGAACTACCACTTTTTCAGAATATTGAGAAATCAACTCTGCATGAAAATATATGCACATTAACACTTACCTTTCGTTGCTGCTTCTTCAGATTCGAATTCCACAAAAATACGAACTACTTCATCATCTGGAGCTTCAGGCAATTCATAAATCATACACATTACTACTTTGCCATATTTAGCACATTCTTCAGCTGTTTCGGGTTCTAGATCATCATCAACTTCACCTGGTCCACACATATTACGTAGAAGAATAACCTAAAAACCAGAAATACAGAAATCTTAAAGCCGTAGATTCTACGTATGAGGAGTAGGAACCATTTATGTTAAAGAAAAACTATACTTGAACTACTCAAATATAAGAGGTAAAAGATGTAAAAATGTATGACTTTATTATTCAACTATCCAACTGTTTTACATAAAATAAATAATTAAAATGTAACACTAGAAACAGTGACCAGAATGCGTTAACTAAAGTATAATTCCTATTTATCTTTGCTGGACATTGAAAATAAAAACCTAAATTAGACTAGAAAATATTTTCATTCCAACAGTTGTTAAAATGAAAGTGAAAAAAAGCCTTGTTACACATTGTTTTATTTATACAACATGGAGGTTTTCTTTTACCATTGTATTTTTACTAAAACCTTACAAAATATTTATATTGAATATGTATATCAAAGTTAAAACATGAAAAATTCAGTATGTGGACAAATACTTTGTCGATCTACAAAAAGCAACTAATTTGAATGGAGGTAGTCGGTGCAGTATTTGGTTAATTTTACATGAGTAGATTGTATTGAGAAAAATGAAAAAAATGAAGATAATAACACCAAAGGATAGGAAATCAATTAGAGTGTTGAAACTACTTTATACTATTATCGACCCTGATACTTGATATTACATATTCTTGAAATATTTTGTTTAGAAAAAATTTCGCTTTCAATAACAAGGTGATTTATAATATTTTAAATGTGTAACATGAAGGCAAAAGCAACACGCCTCAGACTTAAAATCTTGGTAAGTAAGAGAACTATGTTTAAAACTGTTATACGAAGTTTTTAAAAATAAATCGACAGAGCTACTTGCGGAGCTAGAGTTTCACTCGATAGCAGTAGATACATTTACTATTTCGAAAGTAACTATCACTTAAACAAAGAAAAATAGGCTGTGAAATTTATTTTCCTAGAGTATTATTTATAATTATTCACTAAATGATACGTTCATTCGATACGAGAATGTCTATAACTTACGCAGCTTCGATTCTCTGGAAGTGGTAGATTATTGAATGTCTCTTCTACATTTGCACTTAAATAACTAGGTAGATTATTATTATTAACAGCAGAAGCATTGACTTGGATTTGTTGACGTTGTTGATCTTTTTCATGAATTATCTTGCCACCACGTCGACTAGTTTTTTCAACAACTAATGCAGTAGACATTCCTTGACTTTCTCTACCTAGACCTTGTCCTTCTCGATATCCCATTCGAGCCATCATTTTCGCTGCAACAACATTACTATTGAAAATAAAAAAGTTCAGTGAGAATAAATAAATACGTCAATAGTTGTCATTTAAGGATGTAGAACACAAACAATGAGATATTAGAAATAATGGAAATTAAACAACAACGTAAATTTAGTGATCATTAAGTGCCAGTTAGCTGCACTTTCATCACATTTATTAGTCATACTTGATATCTAAATCAAATATTACAACATAGTACTGTGTGATTATTTAATATGGTAGCAAATGATAATTCGCTAAATGCTTAAACAATCCAAATAACTATATACTTTTTTATAAGACGTCAAATATCAACAGTAGATCTCGATTGAAGTTCAATCAACTGTCCAGTCAGTAAAAACAGAGAGAACCAAGACGGACGTACATCTGCTCAAGTTGTCATTTCCCATTAGTGCATCGAGATGAAATTACCAGGCTAAATACCAGAATAGTATAGGTAGTAACAGTATCAATGGGAATAGGAAAGATTATGCGTCGAAGATACGGTTCGAAAAGAAAATATAGATTAGAGAGGTGAAAACAAAAAAAGATTTTGAGAAATTCGGAATTTGAGGGAAAACAAAGAACAGATGCACAGGAGCCATTGCAAACGATTTTGAGCCATGTCCTTCAAAGTCACTAACTATTGGGTACGATGTGAGAGAATCTTATTAAAATAAAATAGTCGAATAAGCATTTTCTATTTACTTACTTACGCTTGTTACTTCTCATGGAGGAGCATAGGCGGCCCACCAGCATTCACCGACCCGGACAATCCTTTCCAATTGTTCCCAGTTGCTAATCATCCTTTTCATGTCTGCCTCAAATTCTCGATGCAATGAGGACTTTGGCCTTCCGTTTTTTTCGTTTCCCTTCCGGATTCCCAGATAGCGCTCGCCTCGCGATTCAGTTTGGTGATTTCCACAATGTATTTCCTATCCACCTCCAACGCCTTTTCCTAATTTCCTCCTCAGCTGGAACCTGGTTTGTTCTCTCACAGTAGATTGTTGCTGATGGTATCCGGCCAACCGACACTTAGTATCTTACGTAAACAATTATTTATAAATACATGTACCTTTTTGATGGTGGTTGTGGTAGTTCTCCAAGTTTCAGCTCCGTACAGTAGAACTGCCTTGACGTTCCCATTGAAGATTCTGATTGATATTGATTGACAGTCATTTTGAGTTTCATACGTTCTTCAACTGTAGCAATGCTGCCCTTGGTTTGCCAAACCTCGCCTTTTTGTATGAATCAGATCTTCAAAGTTCATCCATGATACTACCCAGATACATGAAAAATTCCACCCCTCCCAGAGTTTCTCCATCGCGTGTGATTGAGTTAATGTCCTCTGAGTTGTATTTTAGGATCTTGCTTTTTCCCTTGTGTATGTTGATGCAGAGACTTCCTCTACACTGACTAACTTGATCCCTTTCTAGTTGTTTTCCCTAGTAATTTCTGCTTCTTTCAATAGATCTCGTTAGGCTTGGGACCTATTGTGGAGCGTTATCTCGAATTCATTGAGTTTGTCAGTATGTGGAAGAAAGGATGTATTGAACCTTTGTGATGCTGTTCCCGCCAGTTTTTCTAGCCTCAGTTTCATCTTCGCCACAACCATGTGGCGATCTGAAGCTATGTCAGCTCTTCTTCTAGTTCTCACATCTTCGATTGTGCTTCGGAATTCTTTGCTGATGCACTAGGTCCAATTCTGGCAGATATTTTTATGGAGTACCTTGAAAACATGGTGCATAATCAGGCGATTAGCGAAACGACGGAATATTCCAGATATGTTGATGACACTTTCATTGTCTGCAACAATAAACAGCATGCAATCCGCCTGCTAGAACTCTTCAATAATGCACATCCTAACATACAATTTACTATGGAACACGAACAGAATGACATGTTCCACTTTCTTGATGTTGCTATAAAACGTAAGAGACGGGACAGTCCAACGTTCGGTTTATCGAAAAAGTACTTTCAATGGCCTTTACCTGAATTTCAATAGTTTTTGTCCACTCAGCTACAAGAAGGCACTAGTTAATACACTGTTTTATAGGGCAGAAAAGATATGTACCACTGATAAGCTGGAAGAAGAATTGATGAACGTGCAAAAATGTCTACGAGACAACTATTACCCACAAAAGTTTGTTGACAAATATAAAAAGCGTAAAGTAAATAATACTGAAGTAATTACTGTCAAAAAAAACCAATAACTATAAGTCTTAACTTCAAAGGTGATAATGTTGTTAACACAATCAACAGGAGACTTAATACTGAGCTAGCTAGAACCTATCCGGCGGCCAAAATTCAAATTCTGTATAAAACAACATGTTCAATCACTCAATCAAAGGTTGATAAGCATTCTTTTCATGTTACGGCCAATTGTATTAATAAATTTACATGTACCTGCCAAAGCAGCTACATTGGCCGAACAGAAAGGAGGGCATATCTCAGATTTTTTGAACATGTTCCAAAAAGCCTCGGAACAAGAGAAAGAAAGAGTCTAAGTAGTGCAATCACTAAACATCTCCTTGACACAGGCCATCAGGTTGACACCCTACAATCATTCAAGGTGATCAGTAAGCAGCCAAACTCCAGTCTTCTGAAGTTTGCTGAAGCGGTTGCTATCAGGCGCCAAAAACCTGATTTATGTGTTCAAAAGATGATTGTTAATCTTTCCCTGCCTTGGTGACAAATATTCCTCCGCTGCAGCTTAAAATTTTTATTTTTATCTTTTATATTTATTACGTCGTTGGTTTTATTTTTTCAACTATCTTTAGAAAAAAAATAATCTTTCAACTGAACTCTACTCACTATATTCCTATCAATTGTTTATTCATTATGTAATCAATTGTTTCTAACCCTTTTGAACTGCTGTCACGATTAATGCTCTAGAATATTCTTTCACATCATGTATATATTTACAATATTCAGCCTATTAATTTCATTTACACCCATGTCATACTTTACGAATATTTCTTCAATATAAACCCTCTCATGTAAGCAATTTAAACCCATCATGTAATTATCTTTTTAAATACCACAGGTTGTAAGCAGCTGACGAGAACCTACGAAATAAAATGAATTCATGTTATTCTGCTAGAATCTTTGTTCTTGCTCTTTTCAAAATGATAAAGGGAACTATGTGTATCAAATATGATCTATTTGATTCTCCGTGTTGTGGTCCGATGAGACCCATGTAGCTTTGTGTATGCGTTTGTGGCGGAATATTGTGCCGCCTGTAACAAATTTGTTGAATGCACATAAATTTGCAAATCTCTCGCCATTTTCGTTTCTCTCCCAGTCCATGTCGTCCCATGATATCCTCATAACCAGCGTTGTCCATTCTGACATTGGCGTTTAGATCTCCCATTAAGATGATGAGATCTTTTCCTGAATACTTCTCTATGATCGATTGAAGTCTCGAGTAGAACTGATCTTTACCGTCGTCATTGCTATCACTGGTGGATGCATAACATTGGATAACATTTGTTGTGATTACCTGCTTCTTTGTTTTGAAGGATGCTTTGATGATCCTGGATCCATGAGTGCCATTACTGCTTCTTTGGACAGCATCTTGGCTTTCATCATGAGGCCTCATATTTCTTCCTACAACTTTCGGGGCAGAGTTTAAACGGTTTAAACTTTTTATTCTGGTAAGCGTTCTTTTTTAGCACGGCTGTTCTCTACGGGATGTGTTTGCAGACCTCATGCCCAACCCCCCTCCTTTACCGATATTTGTGACCGGCAGCAACCTTAGAAGAGCTACAGGCGGAGTTATCTGATATGTAAACATAGTAATTTTTAAGGAATCAGATAAAACTATATTAAAGTAAAAATGGTCGTAATAGAAACATGACATGGATGAAAACAAGTAAGCCTGAGAAAAATATCCTAAGTTCGTTGGACTGACAAGACCGATATCTAACAATCGTTAGCATCTTCAATGAATCATAGTTACTTTATATAAAATTTTATTCTGCAAAAAAACTTATATTTCCGTGACCAATGATTCAGTTCTTCAGGTATTAGCTCATTTTGAGCTTTAGCCGGTGATTCGAATTCGTAAGTAATAATCATTAAGATGATCGACCGGACATAACCCGTAATTTATACAGTCTTTTATCTGTTGTAACTAAGTATGATTTAGTATATAAACAGTTTTAAATTCCAAATAACAGCTTAATTTACTAGTATGTATACAAATACACAGTAAATTAGCTGGTTTTATTTTTCAAAATTTTTTGCTTAAGATTTTAAAATTAATAATAAGAGCGAATTATCAGTTCATCTATTAGATAAATACTTCACAGCCAGAGGATATTTAAGAAACTAAGATTCAAACTTTTATTGGTGAACAACACCTATTGATACATGTTATTACTTTAAGCTGGTAAATAAAACTAAAGGCTAAAATGTGTTACTCCAAATTACAACATTGTTTGAATAAGATTAAGAAGTTCAAAAGAAGTTCAAAAATGTTAATAAGAAATGTTCATAAAATCCAATAAATAAAAGGAGCTGATCGGTTTGATTTAAATTTTCTTGCGATCTATCTATCGGTGATTTATGATCTTACTAAGTTACATTTAAATATTCACAAACATACATACTTTATGATTAATGTACCAAATAAAACTTAGTTACGAAAGTATTTCATTTAAGATACTATTTTAAACATAATGATTTATTTGAACACATTTCTAAACACAGTATATATATATATATATATATATATATATATATATATATATATATATATATATATATATATATATATATATTGTTGTGACTCCAATCAAACATTCAAAGTATTTCGAAGATTAAGATTATCATAATATTTGCTAAATGTAATCAGAGATTATGTAATCTTCACAAAAATCTATCAGATATAAATAACATGCAACTTTATATTCTATTCAGTCAACCAAAAATCCCAGTACAAATCCGATTAGATGAAATAAAGAAATTATACATTAGAGTAAAAATCATTATTCTACATAAAATTATTCGCAATTCTTATCGCAGCAATAAAACAGATGTAATCAAAATAATACTTGAATAATTTATTACATAACAAAAGCTACTCTCCACAAAAGTACACAGAATACAACTTCCATTGCTTATAAATAGTAAGGAATGACCAATTGATATTGGACAGATATTATTACATATTACTGACAACCTATTTGTGGTAGTAAATGTAATAGAAGTAATTACAGTAAAAATAAATTTGATAATTATTTAAATGAGATTAGAAGTAGACATTCTGGTAGTTTTCTGTTAAGAATATTTGATCCACATAATCATTAGTTTTAAATAAATAGAAACCATCAGTATGGGGGTTGTGGAGATTGTTAAGTTTTTGGTTGAGATCATGATTGGTTGGTGTTAGACACTAACACCATTGGATGCCGGCTCAGTGGTCTAATGGTTAAGTGCTCAGGCGCGAAGCCAGTAGGTCCTGGGTTCGAATCCCGCGGGGTGCCGGATCGTGGACGCGCACTGCTGAAGAGTCCCATACTAGGACGAAACGGCTGTTCAGTGCTTCCAAGTTTCCAACGGTGGTCTAACATCAGTTGGCTCATGATTTCAACCAAAAATAGAAACCATGTTGATTAGATATTTTTTTCCTTTTCTTTAGTCAATTAAGTCGATAAATAGCAAACAGTCGCTTGTTATTAATCCGAAATGGTCAATAGTGTTATTAAACAGATAATATATAAATGCCAAGAATTGTTGACTGAATTAAATAAGTTTTCCCAGAGAATGTATACGAGAAATTGGAAACGTAAAACAGATAGTTCCCTTCATAGACTCATAGAGTAAGAACAACAAACATTTTGGGATGAAGTAAATTCATTTCATTTAGTATGTTTTAAATCTTTCATCAAAGTACTTGCGTTTCCTAAAAACGCGTTAACAAGCGAAAACGATAATTATTACCACTAATATTATGATCAGTTTACTATTGCTTTTTGGCAATTACTATTACGTATATCATTCTATTTGTTACAACTAAAACAATTTATATGAGTCTTGCGGTTGATTACGTCACAGTCTTTCGCTAAATTATTCTGCTCATTTTAAAGTTGAACGCTTGTGAATATGGAGAGTGATTTTAGTGGAGTTTAGTTCACTGAGTAGATGATTTGATCATGGAGCTTTCATTGTTCTTCTGAACAACATCATTAGCACAAACTTCAGATAGAAGTGAAGTATTCGGATTTCTTCACTGATGACTAACAGCTTGTTCTGTCGACCTCAATCTTGATTGGTTAGTGCTGATGTTGCGCAGTAAAACAATGAAAGCTCCTAACATCGAGCGCAGTGAACAAAACTCCACTAAAATCATCCATCTGAGCAACAAATCTTCACCACAATTTCAAAGTGATTTTAATTATACTTCAGTGGTGAACTAAATGAATTCATGCATATTACACACAAAATCACATTTATAAAACATTTTATTTATTTATGCAAATCAGTCGCTATGTGGAAGATTTAAAGCATATGAAATAAATTCGACTGATCTCACAGTGTTTGTTGTTTTTGCTTTACAGCAAGAAATGGTAATATAGTCCAATATAGAAGTTTTACGCAGTAAAATAAACACATGGTATACAAACATTAAAGTATCGCAGTGAAAGGTGAGTAAAATCAAGTATAATAAATTGCACAAGATATGAACAGGATAAGTTAATGAAAACATACATTCCAAATTTACTACTAGCTGTGCTAACTCCAGGGTCATCATCATTAACTGACGATTCAGAGTTTTGTGATGCATTTGAACCAGGAGTAACAGTTACATCTTCGAGTAAAACAGATGGAGGTGCGATAGCAGCACCCTTTGTTGGTTGCGAAGAACTCCTACCGGAAGCTGCAGTATATTCTGTATCTTCGTCATCTTCTTCATCTGAATACTCATAACGACGACACATTCCGGAAGGATCATTCATACCAAATGGATCCAGTCGGTGGTGTCTGTCTGCAAGCGCTGATTCCTAAAAAAGGCAGATACATGAAAAAATAGTTAAAGTGAAGTATTAAACACTAGATGTATAGTTTTATTTTAAAAAATCTTGAAACTAAGCATTATATATATATATATATATATATATATATATATATATATATATATATATATATATATAATCATTCTGGAAATAATTACAGCGCACATGCATATTTAAATGCAAGGTCAGAATGATATGGAAAGTAATGTCATACGTAAAGGACGAAATATATAAGGTTAGGTTGATTGAAAAGATACGATTCATAAATTGTTTTGAAAGGACATTTGTTACGGAGATCATAATAATGTCAGACAGTAATCGCGATTCGGATATCCTGTAAAAGTATAGATATTGTGCCACAATTCCAAATACATACCCAAACAATCCAGTCATTATGAAGTTTGATGGCTATTTATATATGCAATCATTCTCTCACTAATGGATCTAATAAACAGAAAGTTCTTTATTATTTTGCATTGCTACTATTTAGCTATTTATAAAAGAATTATGAAAAATTAATGAAGAAATAGTTCATTTTAATGATGTTTGTAAATTCATTATTCTTTTAGGTGAAAAAAAGGAATAAAAATACCAATAGAATATCACCTAATCATTTGCATAGAAGTCATAATAATTAGTAGACTTAATTTTACAGATCATATAAGTATATTGAAGATAATCTATAAACTGATAAAGAGTTTGAAGTTTTAAATTTCAAAGTCAAAAACTTTCGTAATAGTTCACAAGTTAAAAGGGGAATCATTACATATATATTTCTCCTCAGGAAAAATGTAATTTTAATATTCACCATTTTGCCAAACATGATTTTTATGATGCGACCGTAGAGATTGAATAATATACTTATGACGTGGTATTTTCTTACTGCTGTCTTTCAAAAAATTCACTATATTTATTATACTAAACTAATATGAACAGCCTATTATTTGTAAAGATGGAATATTTAAGAAATATATTGGAATAGGGAATTGATCAATATTTACACAAAAGCAATGTAAAGATGGAAAGTTTCTTTGCGACATTACCATTTACTGGAACTGTGTAATCCTAGTATAAGTGATTTACCAAATAAAATATTTTTTTCCTATCTTAGTATTTTTCTCTTACCCTTATATAAAGTTTCGGTGAAGCTTTTCAAACAATTTATAGTATAACCTTTTTATATTTTTCAACAGACTATTACACTCTTAAAATCATTAGAAATACTATTATGCAGGTTTAATAAGCAATATCATCAAAAAATTGAGAAAAAATCCTTTGTCAAATTGTCTTGAATTCTTCTTCAATATGATAAGGGGAATTTCTCTGTCTTAAAATAGATTATGATAAAAAGAACTAAATCCTTCGAAATCTGGATAATATTTACAATTAGACCTGGGATAATTAATTACCTCAGCACGTCTACGTTCACGTTTAATTCGAGCTAATTCTTCATATTCATTAGGAATCATGGATTATATTCATCCATCACACCCAAAGGTAGATTTGGTTCACCAAATAGTAAACCATTCGTCATAGCTGTATTGGAATATTTCAACGAACGTTTAGATTTACCTCCACTGCTTCCCGAAACACATCGTTCTAATCGTCCAGTCAATTGATTAAATCTAAATGGTCATCAACATTCAATTAAAGTGAATATACAATATTAACTATAGATAAGGAGACATGAAAAGGGATATTAGTAAGGATGACTATCACGAGCAATCATAAAACTGTTGTTAATTCATAGCAAAAACAACCATTTTTGTCAAGTTAGAAAAGATTGATAGCAAACAAAAACATTATAACGATATTTACTTCCCTTAGTTGTTTACTACAGTGACGTCACAAAATATGGGTTTGAGTAATACATACCGTTTTTGTACTGATGCTCCCTGAACAGATTAGTATCAGTTAACGCTCTTTTCTTCTGATATAACTTGTCTTTTGAAACGCATGATTTATCAATCACTTACGAGAACTTGTAAATCTAATTTGCACTATTATTTGTTGAATATGAAGAAGAGTACCACGGCGAAGTTTGTTTACATAATCACAACAGTAGCAAAAAAGTGTTTTGTAGTTTCTGCTTACAGTATTTTATTTACTCAGTTTTTCACACAAATCGTTAAAGTTGGTTAGTATCAAAAAATTGCAATATATATATATAATCATTTAGGGAGGCAAATGTTTGATTTGGTTTCAAATGCAATTTTCAATATACAAGTGAATTCCTACTTATTTACGTAGATAGTAATTTTCGGATTTAATTAACTTATTTACATTAATTGGAGAGTCATAATAATAACATAGTGATTCACTCGAAAAAATACAAGCACTTTAATATTCTTTCAAAAAATAACAGTGGAAGCTAATTAGTTACATGTTATTAGAGGTCTTTTGGAAAAAAGAACACATGAAAAAGGTTTCTATGTTAATGAATTAACTAGAAACATGTGAATAACTGAACAGGTTGGTTAAAAAGTTATGTATATGTATGTACATATTTTCCTTTCATAAGGTTATCAAAATAAAAAAGGTGGACTACACAACAGATATTTTACAGACTCCAATTAACTAGAAAAACGTGAAGTTTTAGGTCTCTCAGTGCATATTAATTACCATATTCATGTTTACTATAATCTATCATGGCATCCTAAAGTTTATTACTATATATATATATATATATATATATATATATATATATATATATATAGAACACATTCTTAATTTAGTTTTATACAGTTGTAAGGACATCAAACAAATGGTTGAATTGTCAAATAATCATGAAGGGATACGATAAAGGCGTCAGAAAAAAAGGTTCAAACTATAAACGTTGTTAAATAAGAAAGATTAGTTCAACGAAGAGTTTTCTTTTGGTGAATTCATTTTCAAAGCTGTACAATCGCAAATAAATATACTTATTTTTCAGGATGATAATAATTACAATAATACTGATAATAAACTTCTGTTAAACATGATGACAGTGAGGTAAAATAAACAAAGGTTCCTTCAAATAAACTTCCGGTATTCCGATGGTAACCTTATTATTATTTATGTAATTGCAGATAAAACTGATGGTCTCTGAGTGGAATATTAGTGTTGTCAGAAAAAATTTTTCTGAATAATTTAACAATTATTCGAAATCCGCACAAAAGATAATATGAAGAGGATTTTTAGTATTACAGTTGGTACATGCAAAAGAAACACTGATAATTATTAATCTATCTACATACTGTTTTAATAAGATTATTAAACTGAAGAAAAACTATGAAAACCTGATTCTTTAGAGTAAGACTAATGATATGTAATTAATTAAATCAACATAATAAATGGAATGATTAAAAAATAACACTCATGATACCCATCTAACAATATCAAAGCATTTAAAACGGAAATAACGTTGATGGAAAAATGAAGAGAATAACTTAAAGTATTAAAACGAGAAGAGAAACATGGATATATAAGTGGATAAAATGTATTTCCTACTAGAAACCGTTTTAATAAGAATCTTATGTATATGTACATATACATAGAACGAGCTCTAGGTGACATTCGATTACACAAACAAATAAAAAGTATCTATTATTAATGTTAGTTACTTAGCAGTGTAATATACTTGACGTTGATAATGTCTAAGTTTCTTTTATTGAAAATAACGGAAATAAGCACATAAACAAGCGTATCATATTTCACACAAAATTAATCATGGTATCGACTTTAAGTAAAAAAAAAAGTAATCACAGTCCCTAAATGACAGAATTTTAACAAGTTACGATAAAACAGTGATATTCTCATTTAATGAAGAAACAGAAAACATTAGTATTACTTCCGTTCGCAAGATCGCAGAATTAAATAAGCAACAGCTGGGTAACTTTAGACAATAATAATCAATTTTGAAAGGAAGGTGGTAGGTAACCAAAAAAGCAGGTAGATGTACAAGATAAGAAAATAGTGTAAAAATATTTCATCCAACCCAGAGATTCCTGAGAAATACGTTGACAATAATTTTGGACTATTAGTCTTTCAATAGGTAGATGGATCATCAAATATGGGTATTTTCATTTCCTTTAAAAGTGACTTGACTATTTATATCTTATTTTGAGGAGGAAGTATTGAACGATCAATTGTTATTCAACAGACTGTCAATAACAAACTGAATGACAGAGAACTAGTGCTTCTAGCAATGTTTCTGTAGCCTTACGTATATCCACATCACCATTTATCGAACAGTTGTGAAAATATCAACGTGTTTTATTTTCCTGAGGTTATAGTTACAACTAGATGTTTTTATGCAGAATAATTTTATATATTGAGAATATCATAAGGTCAAATTCTCTATGTTCAGAGATACTCATAGTCACAGATTTCGAATATAGTTATCCTTAATTTGTTGACTGCCATTTTACTATACAACTGTTCAGATTAGCTACTAATGAAAAAAAACAAATAGTAGTTACGCACAATAATTAACAGCATAATCAGTGTTCTACGAGGTTTAAGTTAAATCTACTCACGATTAGGCTTTTGGATTAACTTGGAGTTAAATAAGTGCGTCGAGATTATTACGAAGAAATTTTTGAAGTCGAAAATAGCAAACACTTAATTGTTATCGCCGTCTTTATTACTTAAAATGAATAACATAAATGATATTTAAAATTCCTCTTCATTGGCTGACAAAGACGTCCACTATAAGTACCTATTTACACAGTACAGATTTTTTGAATTACAAGCAACTGTAACATACTTCTGAAACACATAATCTAAATGGTAGGTAGTTGATAACATAAATTACGTGGAAACAAAAATAAATACAGCAAATAGTTTACGAATGGGTCGAAAACAAACAATATGAGGATAAAATATGAAATGAAGTCAGTAATAGTAATAGTAAGATGTTTTCTAGATTATTTCTCATTTCGGTTTACAGAGAAAACTGTTTATGTATGGAAAAATAAACAAATAATTCATTATCTCACTTTCCATTGCTTTGGGTTTTTTTTATTTGTTTAGATGTCTCAAAATTTCAGTGTAAAATATTCTTTATTGTCTAGAACACTGGACAGTAACAGGTTCACTTTTGATGAAATAAAACTGTTATAGCCCAAAGCCACCAATCAGAAGCAGCGAATTGTCGACAATATTCAAACAAGTAGCATTTAACACATATGTTGATCAGTACGGATTAATTGATCAGCTAGATATATTACTAAATTAACTAGGTATTTCGTAACAACTTCAGTAAGCCAACATAAAATTATTGATTATGAATAGATAAATTAAACTTCTTAACTTAGGTGATTGCAAAGTTATACTAATGACAATGTCCAGAGCCTAAAATATTTTTCAACTGATAAGTCACAATGAATCGGTTAAGATTCAAAAGCAATTTAATGTACAGAGCACACATCACTTACCGTCTAAACATCAAAGGGTGAAACAAAATAGTGAAATATAATGGAGACATTTATTTGAAAATGAAGTGGTCTTACAGCGACTATTTAAATCAGTAAAACATACTCATCTCAGTGTGACGGGTATACATTTTCATACAATGGGATGAACCAGCTGTTAAGGGTTCCTTGGTTTCCAATAGTACCACAATAGGAATCAGTCAGTGACGAATACCTCATACAGATTTGCTTGAAGAACTTATAATATATGTTTATATCTATAAAGTTCAACCCTATGATAAATAATGAATAGTTTCTGAACCAAGAATGTAAAGTAGGTTTAACCATGAGTTGATATGTTTTTGAAGTTGAATGAGTAGTTCACATAGTTATTGTTTTGTCTTATTAAAGAAATAAAATCATTAATTTTAAAAATGTAAGCACCCTTTAGTCATACGTAATAACCGGTTTTTCTTATCTATATAAATCAGTCATAATCGATGAGCATAAATAACTACGTACATTAATAAATATTTATTATTTAAACGTAATATAATAATATCAGCAAACCTGCTTACATGTTATGTATAGGGCTAAAATGAAATATCAGTTTAATAATGAAAAATAATATAGTATAGTGATTCATACAGAAATCAACACGGGAATTGACTATTGTAGATGGGTTTCATGTGATTTAATGTGACCATAACACGTTATTGTTTATCGATAAAAATACATATGTTGGATTGTTGAAATTATGATAAAAACACCCTGTTTCCAACATTAACCCAGGGTTTCGAGCACTGCAACATCGAGATAGGTTTGGGCACATATGTAGACTCACTAGTCAACACAAATGTCGTTGATTAAAGCACATAAACATTTCGTCGGTAAGTAGGCCATTAGGGACCAAGCCACCGGTTAGTGACTTCATAGACTACTTTCAAATTATGGTTTGGTCACCGATATATTTCTTTAATTATACATCGGGGTTATCCAGGATTGCTCAAAGAGAAAAGCAGAGGGTGATAATACACAAAACATTTCCCATCCACTTAGTAGACGAAGATTTAAAGTCACCAACTGTTCTGCCATAAACGAGCAATGTTGCACTATTACGCTGATGTTCTACTTTGCTGTAACTGCCTATGTGAACATTGATGTCGGATACAGCTTAATAGTGTCATTTTAGATTATATTTACTCAGAGGGTTCCAGATAATTAAATAAGTTCGACTACACAGCATTTAATAATTTAGTATACTTTTACAACCCAATCAAGTTCACATATCACTCTGAAATATAAGACACTGTACCGATATCATGAAATATAGGTAAAAATGTATCCGACATAGATACAATGCGATAAAACTGAAACAACCAAGTGAAATTGAGAGAAACTGGAGATTTGACATATTTAAATATAATTGTCATCATGCAGAACATTCAAAAAAGACATTAATATAACAAATAACTTATAGTAAAATGTTTCATCGATTGGGAGTATAGACAACAAGAAAATATCATAATTATCAAAATTCCAATTAGTAAGTTTTAAAGGTTTTAAACAAATAAATTGGTTTCTTGACACAGAAAATTGCTGATAAACAACCGTCGAAATTTTATTCTTCAGGATGTATACATCACATGTATAACTGATGACAGATTAAGCAAAAAAATGTTTTCCAAACTAGACGACATGAAAAATTTTATGACTGTGTATTGAGACTAGTAGTTTAATTAATAAAGATTTTTCACTGATACTGGCACTATTACAACTTTCTCAGGATGGATTCAACATATCACAATTTAAAAGAACATTCACAAAAATCAATTAGGTGATTGGTTAACAGATTTGATGTGAGGAGATTTACTCTTACATGAAGGTGATTGAAGTGTGATAGATTTACACTCACGAAATTTGTACACGTGCTTAGTAAGAACAAACTATTAATTCAAAAAGACCAGATAGACTTTTTCGGCTTAATTCATGAGGAATTTTACCATGATGCATGATATTACTCGATGACGAATGTAATCAATTTTATTCCAGGAACAACGTTGTATAAAGATTTGGACAGAATATTTTCCTTTGATAATAGTGATGGAAATTCAGATAAGATTATTGATTCTCGACTTACTGTCAGAAGTTATGGTATCCCATAGAAGTAAAAGACTTTTATATGTACTTAATGCAATATTTACAAGTTTGCCATATCAACTAAACCTTCTGGAGCAAGTACGTAAACGCCTCTGTTATCTTTAATTTTAGACAATTTTAAAGGATGCTTGATAGGACTTTGGTTTCCCTATGAATAAGAAGTATGGATTTTGCATATGATTTTTCTGGATGTTTTCAGTAATTTCATAGTAGCTTGCATTTTCTGAAACATCGTTTTAAGTTTTTATCTCAGAATTAAAATAGCGGAATTTTAATTTAACAATCGCTTCCACATGTCTAGAAAACAGATAAACAGCATTCATCAACAATTATGTGGAACTGTTTGAATATATTGACCAGTATACAATAATAGTAGAATACTTTATATTTTACAAATTCGAGGTAGAAATCAATTGTATCATTACGAAAATATAGTAACAAAAATTTCGAACTGACAAAACCAAACAGATAAATATATTTCTTTACAAAATTAGCGTTTAACTTACTTGAGAAAGAGAAGGAAAACAGTAACTATACTCAAAAATATTCTTAAGCAAGAGGGCATTAATGTTAGTATCAAAGGAAATACATTATTCTTCAACATAAACGAAAAAAAACTTAAAAATACAAGTCGTTAAGATATACGCAAAAATCATATGCTCAAGTATGTTAAGGTGGAATATTTGTAACAATAGTACTAGGAAACCTGATGGGATAATCTTATATCAATTTCTAAATAATTCCTTTCTTCTCAAACACTGTAACAAACAAGCAGACTGTAAAGACGAACCTTTTGTTCAATAATATATGTTTAGATACATTCAGAAAGTATTTCAACAAACGTTAATCCTTTAAGTTTTAAAAAAAAGCATACGAAACATGCAAAACACGTATACGGCTGGACTAATATCATTACCTGTAAGAGCCGTCTACGTGTGGTACCCGTTGTTTTAAATCGACCACTGGGGCTAGTGTTGTGCGAGTACTCCACTGAGAATTGGAAGAATCTGTGGCGGGGCGTCGACCTTGAGCACGTTTCACAGCCATGTGGGATTGCATTAGTTTTAAACTAGAAGAAAAATTAAATAAAGCTGATTACATACAAACGACATAAACTCATGAATATATATTTCAGTGAAAGCCCGGTTAAACTGAAGAACTGTACCAAAACGTATGGATTAAGTTTACTAGCTCTGATTTAATATGCTTAAGAAAAACAATTAAAATTAAGAAAATTCAAGATTACAACACGATTTAAAGAAAAGGGAATAGGCAGCTTGTTTGATACCTGAATAACTCGACGGTTCCATAACTTTCAAACTACATCAAAGAGGCAGGGAAGTGAAAACAGGTTTGCAAGAAGATAATTACAGAAGTCAATATACGTAGATCAGTTCAAGTTTTAGCCCATAACAAAACCACATGGATAAGAATTATTGGGATGTTCCGGAGAGAAAAGCAAACAAGCATAGATTATATCCAAGATTTGGCATCTTCCTAACTATGGACTTCAACTAGTGATTTCTTACATTACGAGGACAGTTTACAGTTCGCAGCACAATTTCAACAGTACACAAAAACACTATACACTGACGCCAACATTTGACTATCCTTTACTTCATTTTAAACTGAACGTGAATGTATAAACCAGATATTCACCCTTCGTCAGGTTCTGGAAAATCGATACAGTTTTAGACATCCGACTATGGTCGTATTCCTTGACCTTAGGGCAGCGTTCGACTCCTTTGATCTCGAGAGTCTATGGAAGCGTCTGTCTGGTTACGCGGATGATATGGTTCTGTTTGAGGAAGGCGCTGACGAAATACGGTCTTTTGACTGCCTTAAACAACAATAAAAGCATGTTAGGGTTTAGGTTCTCGCCCCCCCCCAAAAAAATGTAATATACTACTTCAGGATTGGCTTGCATCACCGTTTGAATTAATGATAGTGAGTGAAGTGCTTGAACGCATCGACCGCTTTACTTATCTTGGAAGTCTCATCACTACTATTCTGGGATTTGGCCAGACAATTTTATCTATCTCTGCTAAGGGGGTATAGCAAATCGAACTGTTGTGTATACTTACTAGGTTCTACCCTGTGACTGAATGTTAGTAACAATATGTTATATCGATGGGATATTTTCTCAACATCCGACGGAAGCATTATGGAAGAATTCCTCTAAGACAAAGAAAATGGGGAATTACGATGAAAAAAGTAATAATTAAAATAAAATTTATTTACACTTATTTGACACACTTCAACTTTACACGTACCCACTTAACTACGCGTACATACACATAAAATGGGAACGAAAAACAGAAAGTGAAAACCATTCACTGTTTACATTAGCCACGATAATCAGATTTTAAAATCTTTTACGGTAAACACTTATATGTAAAATTATGATGTAAATGAGTAAAAATGTTTGACAACTATGAATGTACTACTGAAAAAGTAAATCATGTTACCTACCGCTATATTCTTGTGATTATTGACTATATTATGCATTTCAATATACCGATACATTAATTAATAGTTTTAGGATGAATATATTGCTTGCTTACGCCTGTTACTTACTGCTTGTGAAGGAGCATAGGTCGCTCACCAGCATTCTCCATCCAACCCTGTCCTGGGCAATCCTATCCAGCTCTTTCCAGTTGTTATTCATCCTTTCCATATCTGCGTCTATTTCCCGACGTAATATGTTCTTTGGTCTTCTTCTTTTCTGTTTTCCTTCAGGATTCCAAGTTAGGGCTTGCCTCGTGATACAGTTTGGTGATTTCCGTAATGTATGTCCTATCCATTTCCATCGTCTTTTCCTAATTTCCTCTTCACCTGTAAGCTGGTGTGTCCTCTCCCACAGAAGGCTGCTGCTGACGGTATCCGGCCAATGGATGTTGAGTATCTTGCATAGACAGCTATTTATAAATACTTGTACCTTCTTGATGATGGTTGTTGTAGTTCTCCAAGTTTCAGCTCCGTACAGTAGAACTGCCTTGACGTTCGCATAAAAGATTCTGATTTTGGTATTGGTTGAAAGTTGTTTTGAGTTCCATATGTTCTTCAATTGTAGGAATGCTGTCCTTGCCTTGCCAATCCTCGCATTTACGTCTGCATCTGAACCTCCTTGTTCATCGATGATACTTACCAGGTATGTGAAGGATTCTACATCTTCCAGAGTTTCGCCATCAGGAGCGATTGGATTGCTGTTCTCCGTTTTGAACTTGAGGACCTTGGTTTTCCCCTTGTGTATGTTGAGGCCTACTGATGCAGAGACTGCTGCTACACTGGCTGTCTTTATCTGCATTTGTTCGTGTGTATGGGATAGGAGGGCTAGGTCATGCGCGAAGTCCAAATCGTTTAATTAGTTCTGAGCTGTTCATCGTATTCCGTGTTTTCCCTTAGATGTCGAGGTCTTCATAATCCAGTCGACCACCAGAACAAAGAGGAAGGAAGAGAGTAGACAGCCTTGTCTGACTCCGGTCTTTACTTGGAATGCATCTGTCATCTATCCTCCATGCACGACATTGCACTTTAGTCCGTCGTACGAGTTCCGGATAATGTTGACAATCTTCTCAGGAACTCCGTAGTGTTGAAGAAGTTTCCATAACGTCCTCTTAACTTCACTGTCAAACGCCTTTTCATAATCAATGTATACATTTTCCCATTAGTATTGTTTAATATGAAGTTAAATAGTAATTAGGTGTAAAAACAGGCAAAGGGATGAAAAATAAAATAGTAAACCAATACTACTCTTAGTCAATCATTTCACCAGCTGAAGAAGCAAACTAATTTAAAGCAATTGAATTAGTGATAACTTACCTGGAATTTGAATTGACTGAAGAAGGATTCACATTGAATTGATTAGATGATGTTACATCAGATTCCGACCAGTTAGCAGTGACACGCAAACCAACTAATGGAGCATTTCCTGACTTGTTAGACGACTCGCTTGATGTTAAATTATCGAGAGGTGTTCCGTCTAAAATATCCAAGTCATCATATAAACTTGACGTCATTGTTTTAAACTGAAGCTTCGATCCTATGCATTCAGCAAAACAACTGAAAAAGAACAATAATTCATTAAGTAACAAAGTTCGACGAATCAAAGCGTAATAATGTACAAGCATTCACTTATACAAAAAAAAGAATTTTAAAAACCACATTTTAATAAAATGAACTTATTGAGATCATTGTTTGAGATCTATACAGACAGAGTACGGTCTATAAGTTTGGATTTCTACAACTTATAATGTAGATTACAATAACGGTTGTAATATCCTTGAACAACTTTCCATATTGTCTGAAATTCACGAAATAATGTAATAAATAAAATTTATTTAATTTTTTCTACACTAAAAAAAATTCGCAAATTTATAGACTTAGGAGGACCCTCAAGAAATATAGAACAGTAACCAATTGTATGTGTTTAAAGAAGTTAATATAGTTGTACAGGATCTTCATATTTAATACGTGAGATGCAAACAGGAAAAGTCTTCAAGCAAACATTTTCTGGCTTATTAATTTTATAAACCAGATTCTTTCTGATTAGCTATTTGTATCTGAAAAAGAACATAATGGTAATATATGTGGACAAATACAACTATGCTTGAGTCAATGTAAAGCCTTTTTCAGGTGAAAACTGAAGATAATTTTAAGAAACTTGATATTTAAATGTAATGAACATTAAAAAGTGAAGTATAGATACGAAGTCTGAATTATTTAGAAATACACGCATGACACTAAACGGTACTTCTTTCTAGAGTGAAGCAACAAAAATTTAGCCTGTTTCTAGCACAGCTATTGCAACAAATCAGAAAATGAAATTTGAATTCGAATTAAACTTTAAAAAGATATAAGAACGGGAGTAGTAATAATCTCGAATAGAATTCATAGTTAGAAAATATAGGGATTATATAGTTATCTAGTGATATACATGAAAACAACAAACTATTTCCAACTTCAACTTTAGAACGAAGCCCACTTTTAAGACAAAAAAGATAGGTATGCAGAAATGTCAACTCGGGCAAATGATAACCGATTAAGAACTCTTAAATCAGTGCTATAACTGTAACCAAATTCAAGTTTGTTCTCCAGGGAGCCATTGCTATAAACTGAGTGATTACATGCAGAATATATTTTTGTGCAAATATGAAGATATACAAAAAGCATACTAATAAACATCTGTACACTATTGTATTAGACTGATATTATCATTAACTATTAAGCAGGTGCTACAGATTTGAACATCATCTCACTGCATGGGAGATTAGAGTATTTTCAAAGTTTGAGAAAATATACTACGATTCACTGATGAAATGTATTACGATGAATAATCGACATCCCACTTTATATTTGCTGAGATCCCTTTTAATATAGTTTTACTGTTAGGGGTAAATTAGGGAGAACTGAACAGTACTCAATAGTTTTGTCCAACTGAAGTCAGTAAATCTGAATCTTTTAACTCTGAATTAATGTCTAAATGATGTGCTTTTTTGTAAACCCCAATTACTAATTTAATCACACGTTTATATTCCAATTTTCTGTAAAATGGATAAACAATACATGATTAATGAGGTTAAAAAGAACAGAAAACCCGACTCTTAATGTATAAAAGCCTTAACACTATAACGGACAAGTCGATAGCAGAAAGCACAATCGATATATCATTAAAGTAATATTTTAGAGCAACCGTTATTCAATGCCAAACAGACGTATCAAAAAGAGTACACACTGCATTAATTCACTTTTATTTTCTGTACAGAGCAGAAAATTGTACATAAAATTGACTTAACAACGTACTACATGAAGGTGTACACAGCACTTGTTCAATGATTAGGCATAATCAATCCAACATAGTATAAACGTATATTTTTATTGTATGATTAAGAACAAAAAGGCCACAAGATATACAAACACAACACACTTGATAATATTTAATTTAGAGGGGATTTTCTTTCCAACAAATGTAGAAATTAAAGGCAGTTGTAGGTCACTCATCAACATTAGCAGCAACAATTTTATGTACCGTTATTATTCAGTAAAATTGGATTCACATATTTATGAACAAATAGATGCATATATAATTGCAATTTTTAAAAAAAAACGGTAAAAATTATGTAATATGCAAGCATGAGTTTTTTTAATTATTTTGTTTACATTGTCGAATACTGAAAAAATTTATAAAACGGTATGAAATTTGTATATTTTTTCTTTGATTTGATTGAGAGCCTAGATATTAATGAGAATTCGTTGTATAGTTTATAATAATGCATTTTCTAAAAGAAAGAATCCAGTGAATAAAACGTAAACTATGCGTAAAATCCTGAAGAAATAGATAACAATTAAGAGTGGTTCTTTTTTATTGCACATAAGTATATGTATAATTGTTCATTTCATAATAACGTTTAGAATATTCCATTATTTGCCTACGAATCTTTCTTTTCAAATTCATGAATATTAAACTTTATGAACATATCGTTACAAGTAGAGTACATAGTAGTCATAGAATATAGCTTAGAAACGTTATTTATACAACAAGTTGTAGAGATTTATAAAAGCAACAAGATAAATTCTTTCGTTGAGTGACAAGCAATTTTACAGTGGTCAAAGATATTTTGAAAGACTAACGAAAAACAACGAAGAAAACAAAAAATGAAAGAACTTGGTTAAAAATTTTAGCATCACTTTTAGGTTAAAGGAATTATCAACACACGTTTTCTAAACTGAAATTTCAAAAGTCCCATCAGGAGAATTAGAATCACCATCCTTTTGCCATCGTGTGACTAAATGATTAGAATTCCTATGTCCAGTTGATTGCATTCGATTGTTTGGTGCATTCAGTTTAGAAATTCGATTATGCGGAGGTAATGGTGGCGTAGGACGTGAACCAGCTTGTGTCATAATTGAAGGACAATGAGTCGAACCACATGACTGAGATACAAATTTTGAAGCTGACTGCTCATTTGTACGTGGACTACCTATGAAGTAACTAGATCCATCCACTTGAACCCCATGAGGATTACTGAAATAAGGTGGTTTGACCAAACGAAGATTAGAGGATGCTGTGGTATTACTAATTGACTAGCTGTATCAACCGGCAAGAAATATGGTACTGATTTAGAAATACCGTGAGGAGGTACAGCTGGAGGCCAAAATGGCCGAGCACGAGAAATATTTGTCTGGGAGCCATGAGGAGGTAGAGGTGGAGGAAGACTGTGAAGTGACCGTGGAGATAAATGATTGGCAACTTCATTATGGGGTAGTAAGTGTCTTTGATCTACTTGCATTCCAGGAGATCGAGGATAAAACTGGTGCGGAAATTCATGACGGCGTTGTTCAGATCTCATTGATTTCACAAAACCCCTTGATATATTGCTAGTTGGTAGATTTACAGATTCAGGGGTGTAACAATCAAGTGTAGCTGACGTGACATAATGTATACCACGACCTGTTGAAGGAGAGTAAGATTTAGATGTACACTGTGTACCATTAAAATCCTGAGGAGTGCTGAATTGTTCGGCAGTAGCAACACGCGGTTGAGAAAATGGCGCACTATGTGAACTTATCGGTAGGGTGACTCGATCGCGGATATTCATCATCGAATTAGACGATGTACAAGGACACATATTTTCATTGGAACGAGAAGAAAAATCACGTGAAGAACTTCTTCCAATTTCGGTAGCGGCACTCTGATCCTGTTGTCTGAGATGAAGCGAATTACTCGACTTACTTTGGTTTTCTATGGTAAGTTTTAGCAATTGACGTCCCCGAATCAAGTCAACGTCCGAATTCGCTTGAGATCCTAGAAGTGGAGTTAAATGGTCACCTTTCGTGCCGAAACGATCTCTATCGGATATGATTTTCGTGGGGACATTAGTAGATGTTACAACAGAATTGATATTAGAATTAAAGCTAGCACTATTTTCATTTGATACATATTTTGGTGTATTTGTCCCAATCAGTAGACTTTTACCTTGATCTTTGTTACCTAAATACTTTGACTTTGTTCCTACTAAAGCAAGATTTGGATTTGTTTTATTCAATTCGCCAGTCCTTCCACAAACAGGAGATTGCGATCTAGACATAAGGTTTTCATTAGTGTGGGTTGCATTTGAAAACTCTTTAGGGATAAAACTTTTGATTGTGGGTTGGGTGAAAGAGATTTGTTTAATTCATGATGAACACTTGATATTAATTCGGATGTGTTTCGTTGATCAGAAGAATGATTAACTATATCGTCCAAATCCACCTTTTCACAAACAACTTCTCCCTGTTTAACAATATCAACCGGGTTTTTAGATGATTTCTACAAAGATACACAAAAAAATATTGTCACACAAAAACTAGAAATAAGTTTAACAATACATTTCTCGAGCATTTTTAACGCAAATGAACTTGACAGATAATAGTTTGTGTGGGAACAAAGAGTAGCAGTAATTCATCATGAACTAACTAAATCATTTTACAGAACTTATGAAAGTTTGAGCCATATTGGTAGCTGAAAACTACCTGATTGAGGTCCGTGAGATGACTGCTCTCAATGGTTGAGTACACTAGGTGACATAGATAAGAATCAGTCACAGAGACAAACATCCATTTATTCTTTATCTTCTAGATCATGAATCCCAGAATATATTCATACATATCCTTTCATTCTTTCTTCCTAAACCTTGGTCTTAATGTTCAGTCTTTTTAATTATGATTGCTACTACAATTATTTTGACCACATATCTATTCATTTTATTAATTCCACCTTGTGTTAACAAAGTATGAAGAATCGAGTTGACCAAATTTTGTGCAAGTTTCTACGTTGATTATGGCTGATAGACAGAAATCGTTTCAACAACATATATGCAAACTTGGTCTGTATAACTTTGTAATATAAATATTCAACCACTTGGCTAGAAATTCAAGACTTTAGTCAGACGAACTGCACAAATAATCGATGTCATATAATGTTTATATATTATTGATTCATAGACTTGGCCTTTAAGGTGTGTTGTGGGGTCAAACTCCGGCTATCCATATATATGATGTGATAACCAGCCAAACAATTGATAATGAAATCAGTCTCATTTATTACGTAGTACACGAATCCCTTAATTACGTGAGACAAGGGTATTTCTCTGTATCTGTACTGATTTAATTCCACAATTAGACGGTTTTCGAAAAAAATGACAACTGACCAGTCGTTAGTAGAAATGGCAAAAATTTCTAAAAGTAAACCTTAGTACTGTTATCATAAAGACAGAACCAGTGCCAAGTAATTTTCACACAAGTTAAATCTCAATACAACTGAACAGCTCAGTTGAACTGCGTTACAACAGTTCTAGTCTTAATTACTACTCTAAACCACTGAAATTTCATCGTAACTAAACATTTGCTAAAATAAAGTCACATTTTGTAATTTTTCGGGCTCATCAATGTATACAAAGCGACTCATAGTTCAGTGACAGAGTTATAAATTGAATAAAATAAGCTGGCTGTTGTTGCAATCTGAGTTGAAATTACAACTCGATAGCTTTCAAACAACGGTATGAATTGACAACAGAGTGGTCAACCGGTAGAGTATATCCTGTGCCATAACAGCTGTTATGCATTTCAGCATATATTTAACAGACTTGTAGTGACTCACTTTTATCACGAGAACACGACTGGTTTAATGAAAACAATTATATTATAACCAATTGTACCAGTGCTTGATTTAATGTGCTCTTTGTTTAACTGTGCTAATGACAGCCACATTGTGTTTCCATCATTATTATTATTACACTTTGATTGTGACCTCGCGCGAATTCGGTTACGTTCTGTAACCAAGCTTGTATCTTGGAACGATCTCGGTATCCCTCGGTACCACGAGATCGCCAGCGAATATATCTCGATTTGGTCCATTAATTGCCTTCTGATATTTCGCTTCCGGGGGATATTATGGATATCCTGGCACGCGTTCCTTTGTAGTGGTGTTCATAGTCTATCGCGACTCGACACCACGCTACAGACTAATATTCGAACGAAGAATATTATTTTCGATAAATTCTCTTCAAGTTCTACAATTATATATGCAAACTAATAATCCGAAAAATGGTCAGATTAAGGGAAAAGTACATCGTTTAAAGTTAACGCGTGTGAATTTATGGTTTTTAAAATAAATAGAATAAAATTGTTAATGTTGATATGACCCATACATATACATAAAATTTTTCATATGAGGCGTGAACATCAGTTGAAAACTTACACATACTTAACAACAGTAAATATTAAATTGTATTCATGGAGAGACTTAACAAGTAGAAAGACTAGAGGTCTTATATAACTGGTAGTATATTTTGCAGTTTAGTCTACAGATTAAAGAGTCGAAACAACGAATTAGAAAAACAACTATTTACAAAATACTACGGCAGGATGAATTAACTTACAAAAGTATCAGGAAGCTTGTAGTTATTAGAACCAGAACGCAAATTTGATGTTTGGCGGTGTTTGATAGGTTTATCATTATAGGATATTTCCCACATATCAACTTCTGCTACATTTGGTCGATTCAATCTACATGGAAAATATAAAATAAACTGACGAAACAAAACTTACATAGGTGGTTGAGAGGTACAAAAAATGTGTAGCCAGTTCTTGCACAGGCCGCGATCATAAGGGTTCATATCAAGATCATATTTTGAAGTGACCTTTGAAATTATGAGGGAAAAAATGTTGCATAATGAGAATATAACAATAATGAGGTAAACAAGTGAAACAAGAGTAAGTTACATTACCATAATTAAGCAGTTGTAGGATCAGACTTGGGAATAGAGTGACTATAAACTTACGAAGATGAAATTGAAGTCTATTAAAAAAATAATTCGCAAGAATTAACAGATATCAAAGAAACACCTAAAAGACTAAAATTATACATATCATTTCAAGTCTAAAATATTTAACACCAAACTATCATACATCGAAAGTTCGTCGTCTTTTGTCAGAAGTTCTATAACAATTGGTTTTCATTTTCCCGTCAGTCTGGAGGTATAAGGACACAGGTAAGACACTTTTGAATTGAAATCACGTTGTAATTTCAGACTAAAAACACTGATCAATAGGTTGTCAGGAAAGTTTTCCATTTTTTTTAATCTTACAATCAAAAGTAATACTTAGTTGACCCATGTGTTGTGGCTGTACACCCTAACTCATGAAGCACATGAATCCCAAATTATGGAGAATTTACGCCACTAAAGTCAAATTGGTAACTTATTGAAGATAATTAAATCCATGCTCAAATCCCAAGTCATAGCGGATACATTCCTCTGAAATATGGGAATTAGCAATCTCAGCAGGTTAATATCGACAAACAAAAGATATTTATAGAAACATCTTGATGAAATATATAGTGACAAAACTCTCGGGCGAAAGTCACCTAAGACTTACCTGTTCATTTGTAGTTCGTCCTTTGCTGACTAAAAACATGTGAAATCCCGTCAGACCTAGCACAGGAAGCAGCAATAAGCCTACCAAAATTAACACACCAATGCTGAAAGGTAAGCTAAGGAATACTGAAAGTTTTGTCTTCAGTTAAAAAGACACAAGATAAAGGATACGCAATAATGACTTTGTAGTGAGAGAGTTCATTCGTACGCATCAGGACATACGTCATGGACACGCCAAAAACAATAATCATATGAAGAGTTAATGTGAGTAGGAACGAGAAAAAATACCGATAGTTTCGTTTCCCAATACAATTGTTCAGCCAAGGACAATGATGATCAAACGTCTGAAAATCTTTTGGCGGACTGAACAACTTACATCAATGCAATGTTTGCAAATAGAGCAATGAGAGCAGCGAGGAGGTCTGTAAAATTCACATGTGACACACCATTTCAAACGGGTGGAAACCCCATTTATGTCAACAGACTTATACATTACAGTACGAGGGGAACCTTTCTCAACAGTAGTCATCTTTCACCGGGAACACCTATTTACAAACGGTTAGTGTGAGGCTCAGGACGCACCCATAGCATAATATCCAGGGTCCATGAAGGTTGCCTTGCCAAATGCAGATACCACAAAGAAAAACAGCAAAGAATGACACACAGTAAATGCATAACTAGTTTCTTTGCTAAAATCCCAACAACTGAAAAGTTAGTAGTAAGCTTATAATACCTACATAAACACCAAATACAAAACAGTAAGAAATATAAGGAGAAACCAAGCAATCAGAGCTGGACCAATATTTTTTGAAAAGGCTTGGCAACTCATAGTCCATCAGTAACGAAAACCCCATCAAATGTTAACAGTAATTTGGTTGAAAAGGCCGGCATTTATAGTGATTAGCTTAAACAAATAGCATGGTAGTACTAGTCACTTGGACTGAAAAATCACGTGGCTTTCGTCCTGAGATTCGCATTTTGCAAATTGCTTTTCTTTTCGAGTTTCATCCGAATTAATCGGCAGCTGTGTTTGTGTCTCAGCTTACTATTCTACATACAAGGTTTTTCAAGTCAATAGGCTTTAGTTTGTCTTTATCTTTCATAGTACTCGCTTTTAACCACTTTTCCGATTCGGACATCTTGTTGTCTTTACGATCGCGAACTTCTGCCTGAATATGTTTAACAATTTATACTTCACCATGGTCACTAAGATCTCATGTAAGCGGCCTGGGTGCCATGTTATGGTCACGTGTGGTATAAAGGGTGACGAGTGCAAACGTTGGCCTCAAGAAGCAAGCATGGGCCCCACAGTAAAGCTGGGGATTTGCTGAGCAATATCATCAGTTCTGAAACGAATAAACAAACAAAGACGTTCAGTGAATTGAAGGAGATGGTCTTCAATGGTATTCACTTTGATGAAATAAACACCAAACTATTGAGGATATACTGAACCTTAGAACCGCTAAAACACATACGGCATTAGACTCTGATTAAACTTGTGTTTCCCTGTAAAGCACCTTCGAGTGCTACTGTGGACCTCGAAACTTCTGCTGAAGGAGACTGGACTCTCGTCAACAAGGCTGAAAAGGATCGAGAGTCAACGTCGAGAATGCTGAAAAGCCCAGGTCCCGTATGAAAATCAGCTAATTAATTTTCTGTCCAAGCTACACCTAACATTGCTCAGCCAGTCAAGAAAAAAACGGCGAGAATATAATTTATGGACGAACCAATCAGATTTACGATAACGGGTCTCGAATTTGGGCGCAAAATTCATTCACCCATTTGGCTATATAGAGTCTTGGCATTATAGCTGATGTCAGTTCGTGATGGAAACCCTGAATCTAATTCCTTAAACTTACCTTCAACTAAAAATCATGATCCTTTCTTTTCAAACTGTTACATAACCCTCATTCAACCATAGTAATTTGGTAGATATTTTACAGGTCGCTTGGGCGTCGCTCGAAGGTCGTCCATAAATTATAGTCTCACCGAAAAAACACGAAAATTCGGATCGTAATCTAACTGCAGAAGAAAGGACCTTAACTTAAATGTACCCGAAAACTTGTTAAAGTGGTTACAGTTCGCGATGATTCGCTAATAATCATGAACTTTGGAGACAGCTATGACTTACCTCCTGGTCTGCAGGACGATAACGATCGGATGCTTTGGGAAGTTGGATAGAAAGCTCAAACTCCCAAAAATTGAGCCGACAACGGTTACATGCCTTTTTCGGAGGACGGATATCAAAAACTAGATGTTCACTAACATCGATGACGTGAAGGATGTTTTGCTACCCAATCAGATGTTGAAATCAGACGAGAATGTTAAGTTACTACCTGATATACCGTATTCTGAGCATAATGTCATCATAAAAATTCTGGAGGAATCTCAAGAAACGTTCTTTCGCGGAAGAGATGTATTTGTTCAGGGTGTCCAAGAAAAAAGGAACCCTGATCATGCAGATTACGATATTCTAAAATGGAAGTGCTTTAGGCAGTTCTTAAAGCTTTAGAACATATTTACTCAACAAGCAGTACGAATAGCCACGAAGGACGAGGATTTTATTACCTGGATAATGAAGATGACTTTTCCATCCGCCAAAATGTTGGCCGTTACCCTCGAACCATTTTGTATCAACAGACACCAGTTGACAACTGTGTTCTATATACATCAGAGCAAACTGAAGCCAGCTATTTCAGTTGCAGACAGGAAAAGGCGTAGAAAAGATGGGGTTTACTCACTCGGGAAACACTGTGTAGGTAAGTGGCATCTCCATTCATATTAGGTTCATTCAGACAAGCGGAACGAGAACGCTCACGATTTTTAAATCGAGAGCATCTACTGCCTACATTAGGACACCACAAGTTTATCGAAAAAATAGGTGAGTTGCGTAAATTTAGTTGCGCTAATTGTATTCATTTTTATAAAAATATTTGGAACCTAGAAAATTCATTTTACGAACCAGGAGATTGCAATACCTGGCATAAATTTGTCCTGCAACGACAGAAGAACAGGAATGGGGGGAACGGAGCATCCCTGTAACTAGGATCAAGTGTACACCAAAGAGTATATCAATCTTGAGCAATCTTTATGGCGCTCAGTAAGGTTTTCTAACACCTTAAAGTGTCTAATTGAAGTCATCTACAGAAAGCCCACTGCGGACAACGATTGTATGCTGGAGGATTATCCAGCTTTATTCGTCTTGATTACACTCATAACCTGATTCTGCAAGATTTCAATCCCCCAAAAGTAAATTTTGCTGAACACACGTAAACTGAGGGCAGCAACCCTACTGAATCTCGTTCCTTCGACTTTACTGAAGATCTGGAACTGTTCGAAAGCGTGAAGCTAGAAACTCGGTTGAGAAACATTTAAAAGCTGTCACACCTAGACTGCACATATACAACTGAAGAATTCCCAATTGACAACAATACAATCTTGATTTTCATCTTAACCCATATGAATCATCTTTCATAGAAAGTATTCGTCATTTTTTGCTGAAGATTTGAAGCTTTGGAGAGACGTTTGCAACCAAGATGATAAGCTGGCACTTGGGGAGGATCTGACTTGACTTCAAAGTTCAGCGGACGACTTGATTTCAACGATTCGAAATGTAAGGAAACCCGTTTCAGACAAGCTGCAGACTACACGTAAAACGTGGGGAAATCTTCACTTGAGATACCACAATTTGAAAAACATTTTGGAGAATTGGTACCCTATGGTCTGAAGTTATGCGTCATCTGAGATAAAAGTACACTTCGAGCAAACCTCGCACTAGTAACTTTGAAACGCATTTTCGGCCAGTTTCACTGTAGAATTTTCAACCCGATTTTCAACAGTTTTGTTCGACCCTATTTGGATTATGGAAACCAAAGTGTTTTTTCTCTCTTTACAAAAGGACAAGAAAAAACTAAAACGTATCCAATGGCAAAATATGGTGGTATTAGTTCATAAACACACTGTCTATGAGGCTATATATGTGATTACTGGGATTTACATTCGATATGTAATAAAGAGGTTAAAATGGAGAGACAAATGAGATTAACTAATGATTAACAGTATGCTGAACACTCCTAAGCAACCCCTATGATATTTACTTAAGCTCAGTCGAAACATAAACCTTATCGCTTACACCTAGAATATGGAGACTTAACATAATAGAATGGTTGTAGGCATATCTTTTACTCTTTACAAGTAGTAAACTTCTGGAATTCGCTGCTGGCTAAGGTGGTCTTAGTGACTTATCAGACCTCCCAGGACAGTATTATATTATAATTTGCCAATATGACTCCTTTTATGGTTAAGCATACTTGTGTACCTACCTGAAGGTATCGCTGATCCATTACAACTAGGTACGAAACCCCGTTAAGCAATACCTTACATTAGAATCGTGGATACTGTACGAAGTTTTCCTTGTGACGTTCGGACTAAAAAGGGTCACTCTAGTGAAAATAACATTGAGATAACGTTTTCGAAGTGAATGGCTACACGCCACACCATATTTACAAATTCTATAAATGTATTTACTCAGATACGTATATTTTCAGTTTCGCTTCCTCACTCTAACGGAGTGACTGTGCAAACCTTAGCGACGAATCGACGCTAAGTAGTAATACTAGTAATAATTTATCCTCAAATTTAGCTCTGTTGCATGGGAATGCCAGTTTACAGGCAAGATCAAACTGTTGCAGACGATACAGTTTTCACTGTGGTGGGCTACTCAGTTAGTTTGACATTTATAAGGTATACTGAACATAAAAGTATGGGGGATAATACTTCTCACAGATGAATACAAATAATATTTGTAAGATCCGTATTGTCAATACGACAGTTGGCGAGCTATTAGACGAAGCGTTTCGACGTGCAACTGACAGTCGGGAGTAAATCCACGTAAACTTGAGAGATTCTAGAAATTGTGACTCTATTTTAAAATAGCTATGCGGACTGTTCTTGCACAAATACCACTTTATTTGACGGATTATTTGTTTGGAAATATATTATGCGCAGAGAAACTATAGAAACTTGGCGTAGTGGAGAAAATTGGAAAATTTACACAGAAAACAGACCTTACTAAAATACAACAATTTGTAACGTAAGATAGCTAAGGTCGTATATGATGCAACGCTATCCTGCTGCTTATATGGAATTCAAAAGTGTCCAATGCCACTAAAACAACACTGAACATAGACAAAATTTCCAGTCAACCAAAATGCATCTTCAACTTAGAAGGCTAGTATGCATGTTCATCACCACCACACTTCGTCGTTGTCACGGATGACTACGTAAGCTAATGGAGTGAGGAAAGAACTCCGTTATCACCGATTGACATCGTTTTGCACATTACCTCTGCCAAATCTCCAGCTGATCCTCCTGGTAAAATTCTGTCGGACATCCAAGGGGGGATAACCTGGGTACTGAGTTAAACTGAGTTAGAATAATACTTTGCGAGTTCAACGTAGGTTTAGGTATTAACTGGTTACAGCATTTCATTTCACTCCAGTAGGTGGATAAGTGACATTTCTGAGGTAG